ATTTATAAGAATCATTTAAAATTTTCATATTATACTTTCCATTTTACATTTTTCCGTTGAAATTATCGTTCTTGTTTTTCTCTTTTTACATATTAAAATTTTTTATTTAATTTTTTTTTCCAATTTTTGGTACAAAATGAGAATTTTAAAGAACGCAGTAAATAAGTGTAATTTATTTTTGCAGCACACGAGGAGACCTGCTAGTAATATTTCGAGCCTAAAAATGTTAAGCGAGATATCGAGGAAAAAGAATTGTTTACAATTACGAGTTAATAGTAACATATTAAAAGAATCCATTTTGTGTAGAAATGTATCTACAAATATTATGGAAAAGAAGAATGATAGTCTAGAAGAGCAGATGAGTAATGATGATATAATAAAATTTTTTGAAGAGAACAAGAATATGAATATTGATAAATTATATAATTTAATAAAAAATTTGAGTAGAAAAAGAATTGAAGACAGAAAGAAAATAGTAGATAATGAGAAATTTATAAATATTATTGAAGAAATAGAAAATCGTATTAGTATTATGAATACAAGATATTTATGTAACTTTTCTTTACGTTTAGTTAGTTTATCCATAAATAATAATGATATAAAAAGGATACTTACCAAAATAAGTGAACATGTATTAAAAAAAATGAATGTGAATCCTCGTGATTTAGTTGGTATTTGTTATTCCTTAAGTTTATGTAATAATATGAATGAATATTTTTTTGAACATATTAAAAAAGAAACCATTTCTAATATAGATGCATATACTCCAACCTTATTAACTCAGTTATTAGAGAGTATGAGATTATCTCAAAATTTGGATGTTGAATTAACAAATTTAATTGTGGAAAAAATGTGTGAAGAAATTGATAGATTCACAACAAAAGATGTAACATTAGCTTTAAAAAGTTTATCTATGGCTGGTATACCAAGAGGTTTTCTTATACGTCGTCTTTGTAATTTAGTTTTTGATAATATATCACATTTTCATCATACATCATTAATAAATATTATTTATAATTTAACAAAATTAAAATTTACTACAACAAGTCATATTGATGTAATATATAAAAATGTTGAAGAAAATTTAGAAAATTGTAATGTTATTACTTTATGTGAATTGTTGTATACCTTTTATATGAATGAAATAAATGAAGAATATAAAATTAATCGAATTTTTGAAAATATTAAATATGAACAATTTAATACTACCAAAACAGCTATCTTGATTGATTTTATACATGCAGCAACCTATTATAATAAGTATATTGAGAAAGAAAAATTATTTAATTTAATAGATTTATTATTTAAAAGAGCAATTCCAAAATCATTAACATTAATAGCAAAAATTAGAGAACCAATATATTTCTTATCTACACATACTAATTTTAAATATGACTTAAATAATATTTCTCCTTCTTGGTTAAATGCAATGAATGATTTTCTCAGAATTGATCATGAAAAATTACAAGCCTTAAAAACATTCCATGAAGTACAAAATGTATTAAATACAGTAGCTCCAAATTTCAAGCTCAATTTTGTACCTTTACAAATTGTCCAGTCTTATTCTGTTGATTTTATTGAGCTTGAAAAAAAAATAATTATCGATCTTGATACAATAGTAAGACATACATCCTTTCAAATGAAACATCAACACTTTGAACAACTTGGATATAAAACAGCTAAAGTACATTTTTGGAAATGGAGAAAATGTAGATCAGAGAAAGAACAACAAAATTATTTATGTGATATTATATATTCCTTAACTGACCAAAAGCAAAATCTGGATGAAATTAATCAAATTGATAATGAAAAGAAGTTGACAATTTCGGAGCAATCTGAATAAATGACAAAAAAAAAAAAAAAAAAAAAAAAAAAAATAATAAAAAATAAAAATAAAAAGGAAATATATTATAATAATATATATGTTAATGTAGCAATATTATAACTTATAGATAATTCTGTTGATTAATTTTTCCTTTTATTTCAAAGGTGATAATATAGAAATTGTAATAACCAAGTTTTTCAAGTAATAAGAATTTTTTTATTTTAAAAATATTGTTGGAAGAAGGTGTAAGCATAGCTAGCGAAATAATAAAAAAAAAAAAATATATGTGTACATATTTTTTATTATTATTATATTTTTTTTTTTTTTAAATGGCTACTTATAATTGTTAATACGTTTGGGTATTTATAAATTAGTTGAAAAGGTAATCATAAGTCTAAATGAGGACCTAATTATATTTATAAATATAAAACTAAATATGTATATATATATATATATATATATATATATGTGTGTGTGTGTGTATAGTATAATTTATTCTTTCATATATAAAAATATATATTTTATAAATTTCATTTGAACAAATATCAATACACCAAAAAAACTGAATTAAAATATAAAAAAAAAAAAAAAATAAAATAAAATAAAATAATAAAATAAGTAAACTAAATTAATTAAAAAATATCATTGTCGTCATCTTTCCCTTTTTGGAATGATATTTTTTGAGAATAAGAATAATCTGTTAACTCGGGTTTTTTATATTTAAATCTACTTGTCTCATTAAAGATTTTTAAATATTCCAAAACTTTGACATAATTCATTGGTTTATTATGTACTTCATCACTAGCATTGATAGAAGACAAACAATGCATATACCTTGAAGCTTCGATTTTACATTTCGTAAATGTATTAGGATATTTTCTTAAGCAGTTTATAAATTTTCCCCATAAACTATCACATGGATTCTTTTCAAAATTCTTTTGATTTTTTTTTTGAATTTTATGTAAAATTTCTTTTCCTTGCCACCACTCGATTAAAGGAAAGCTTTTCTGTAACTTTGCGATAGGTAATAATAATTCATTGTTCTTTTTCTTGCACGTACTCATTTAAATTTTTCATGAATTTATAATTAAAAAAAAAATATATACATATATATATATATATATATATATATATATATATATATATATATATATGTAATATGTAATATGCTTTTGCATATATAATGCTATCAAATTCAAAGGCAAAAGAAAAATTTCTTATTCAGTTTTGTATTTTTCCTTTTACATTATCACAGAAATTATGTTCTTTCTGTGTTATGTGTATTTATTTAAATAAATTTATCTTATTCTTGCATGTTACTATTCTTTTTATATTTTTTTACATCATTTTGTTAACAAGTCATAAAGAAAATATAAATATATAATCATATACACGTATGTGTATATTACATATATCAAACCTTAAAATAAAGTTGGAGTAAAAACCTGAAAATTTTAATAAGTTTTAACAATAATTTTGTTTATTAATAATATGGAATGTATATGCTAAAAGGTATATATTTATATATATAAATGGAAAATTGTGTTTATTATCATGATACTTTTTTTTTTTTTTTTCTTTTCTTTCTTTGTTCAATTTTTAAAATATACATATTTTTAGAATGATGAATATTATATATGATCAAAGTAAAAAATTATGAAATATATATAATTTATACCTATTTTTTGTAATAAAGCATATGTATGATGAAAATAAATTGAATTCCTAATTTATAATATGAAATAGTTATATATATATGTGAATTATAAATGACCATAAAAAAAAAAAAAAAAAGAATACCAAAAATATCAAACTCAATGTTCTAAATATAAAGCAATATATCAAACGTTAATGCTATTACCTAATATAAAGAGTTTAAATAATATTAACGATCGTGATGAGCTTTTTAAAAGGAATGAACAAATATATATGTTCACACACATAATTATTATGAAAAAAAAAAAAGGAATCTGGATTATTTTTAAAAAATATATATTAAAATTTTTTTATACACCTATGTATTACATTTTTAAGAAAAGATATTGGAACGAGGAGGAAAAGAAAAGTTACATTTTCTTTAGTTTTTTAATAAATTAATGAATACTTTGAAATTTTACATCTTGTCAAAAGATGGATATTTTAATTTGAGTAATGAATTAATAATATATATATTGAACTATACCCTTGATTTTTTAAAAAAATGTTAGGATACACCAAAAAAAAAAAAAAAAAAAAAGAATAAATAAATAAAAAATTCTTTTATAAAATAATATATCTATTATTGATACAGTATACAATTTAAAATGGTAATATTATATTTAGTATAGGATCGTACATTTTTAATATATAATATATATATATATATATATATATAATATTTTTTCCCTTCTATGATCATATGTGAAGATAAAAAGAAAAAACAATTTAAAATAAATCTTCTTTTACATAAAAGATATATATATATATATATATAATATATATATATATATATAACCACTAATCACACTTTTGGAGAAACCCAAAGGAAATAAAAAAAATATATGAATTAATAAAATACATATAAAAAATAATAAAATTTTCATAATATAGCCATTTTTTATTATTTTTTATATTCTAGCTATTTAATTAAAGGGAAAAAAAAAAAAAAAAAAAAAAAAAAAAAAAAAAAAAATACTATTATTATATACATATATATATATATATATTTACATATTTAGCTATTCAATTAAAAAAAAAAAAAAAATACAAAATTTATTTAATATATTTAATTTTTTATTTTTTCTAAATTTATATTATATATGTATTATTTATTTATTTATTATTATTATTTTATTATTTTTTTATATTTATTTTATTTTTATTTATTTATTTTATATTTATTTTATATTTATTTTATATTTATTTCATTTTTATTTATTTATTTTTATATTTTTTTCATTTTTATATATTTATTTTATATTTTTTTCATTTTTATTTATTTATTTTATATTTATTAAAATTTTTTAGTATTTATTTATTTATTATTATTTTTTTTTTTTTGTAAGAATATAATTAAAAAAAATCCATAAATATATATATATATATATATATATATATATATTATCATAATAATTTTTTCAAAATGGCAATATATATGATGATTTAACCTTTTTAGATATATTTATTATTTTTTTTTTTTTTTGTATTTTGAGTATTAATGAATTTTGAGGAGTTAATATATATGAAATTGGAATAGTTTGAATTTTATGTATTTGGATGAATGTATTTATGAAATGTCGGAATTAAAGGAATTTGAATAGTTTGTTAATATACATATTGGTATAGATAATTTATGATTAAAAAGGACAAAAAGAAAAGAAAATTTAAATTTATTGGAATAATGTAATGAAATGATTTTGTTATCAAAAATGAGAAGAAATATATGATCATCATATTAATCAAACATATTTGAAGATAGAACTGTACAAGATTGAAGGATCATATATATTTATATATTTATTTATTTATTTATTTCTTCTTAATATATATACATATATATTATGTTTGTAAATTGTCCTTGTCAAATTTAACGTAATAATGTTACTTGCAGAAAATATACAGAAAATCCGTTTTTTTTTGAAAAGATGATTTTCATTTCTTCTGTTAGGAAAGTCCCCGAGATAAACATTTATTTATATAAATGTTTTAAGAAAAGCTGATAACTTAATAAGTTATTAATCTTATAGTTACCATTGTAGAAAATATAAAAATTTTCTCAAAGGATATAAATATTAAAATAGCGAGTCAAATGTAACGTGTGTTCTATAATATATTTTATTGGACATCACCGAATGGGGCTTATACGTATGTTAAATTTACCATGGATGGTATACTTATATATATATATATATATATATTATATAATATTATATATATATTGTAATATATTATTACAGATGTATATAACTGAAAAAGCATTTACACTTACACACATATTTATATTTATGTATATGTATATCCATTAGAATATTTAATTGCTTTAACACTTTTAATATTAATTTTTATTTATATATTTATTTTATTTTATTTTATTATATTTTATTATTTTTTTTTTTTTTTTTTTTTTTGGTGAATATATATTTTAACTAGTTGAATTTTTAATGAGCATTAAATCCGGAAGGAATATGCCAATATATTAACATTTTAAGAGAATATAAAATAAAATAAAAAAGATAATAAAACTAAAATATATTAAATTGTAAATGCATTATCCATATGAAAAGTCTATGTACAAACGTATATTCAAATTATATGTAAATGTTAAAAGTTCTTTAAAAATAAAAAAAATTAAATAACTTGATAAAAATATTAAATTATAAAGTTTTACAAATATATATATATATAGATAGATAGACATATAATATATATAATTAAAAAAAAGAAAAAAGCTTTTATAAAAAGGTATTATATTAAATGTATATATATTAACATTATTATATATAAAAACTATATATATATATATATATTAAAAAAGAACATATTAAAAAAAAACAAAAAAGGGTATACAACTAATAAATGTGTTATAAAAATGTATAAGATTAATTAGGTATACACATGTATATATATTTTAAATATAAAAATTTTATTATATATTAAAAATAAAATAAATATGTAACATATATATATATATATATATGTATGTATAATTGTGTGATATGGTTAACCTTAAAAAATTTTCTTTTTTATTACAATTGATATTATAATTTTTAAAACTTCGTGTTTATTTTTCTTTACATTTCAATTCATTGGGAGTTTATCCTTTTCTCCAAGATTTTCTATGGATCTTTCATATTTTCGCACGTACAAAATACTTAAAGGTAATAACATAATAATGAATGCTATGACTATGAGTAAAGAAATATTTGTAGGGTCAATACCAGAATTGTCTTTTATTATTATTAAATCATATAATTTTTCACAAAGTAAGGAAAAGATTCCTCCACACAAGCTAGCGAATCCTAATAATTTTCCAAAAATTATAGATGGGAAACTGTTTTGAATATAACAATAGATTTGGCTTGTATAAACACTTGTAACACACATATATAAGAAAGCTGAACATAAACCAGCAAATCTAAATTTGATTAAGGCACTTAGATGCATAAGAATTGATAAGATATTAATAGTAAGAATAATGATACAAGCTCCATATTTATTTATGAATCTTCCAAAAATAACACATGGAATACTCGATAAGGGCATAAGAATATTAATTACATTTATAATTGATCTATCATAACTAAAATATGTATCAGTAACCATACCATAAAATACAGTGGAGATATTAAAAAGTATAAAATATGTGATAACACATACACTTGGAAAACTAATTAAGATTTTAAAAAAGAGGAATATACTTTTTTTATGGAAGTCTTCTTCATCGTGTAATATATTTTTATTAGAATTTATAGATTTATCTTTTTTTACAGTATTTTGATCACTAATTTTTGTATTTTTTTTTGTAATATTATTATTATTGTTGTTGTTTTTGTTGTTGTTTTTGTTATTGTTAGTTTTTATATTATTTTCCAAATCATTAGAAGATATATTATCATTCTTGTGATAATTGTGTTGATCACTGTTGATATTATTTTCTGCACTATCTTTATCTATCATTCCAGTTGCATTATTTTTAAAATTAAATTCATCTTCTTCATCTATATAATAATTATTTGAACTTCTACTTCTACCTTCATCATTGGTAGGTTTTGTTGTTTTATTATTTTTTTCTAAATAATAATCTAAAGCTTTGAAAGGTTTTAAAGGTAATAAAAAAACTGCCGTTAATAAGCAAGGGATTAAAATAAGTATAATATATCCATAGCAAATATAACTAAATGAAAGATTTGGAAAGTATTTCAAAACTAAATTTAATGTTGCTGGTACTGCATAACTTAATGAAGCTGCAGCTCCTACAACTGTCATAATAAATGTAGATGCATCAGGATACAAATTAGATACTGTCAATACTGGAATAAAGGCTGTATCAGCTCCTAAACCTAAAAATATAAAACCCCATAAAGTTGTATCTATACCTTTTATATCTATTGATAATAAAATCCAACAAATAATATTAAATAACTGCCCTATTATTGCTGTAAATTTTGGACCTATATGATCATAAAGAAAACCACAAAAAACAGATGTTGTAAAATGTACTGCTAAGGTTAGAGGATATAATCCATTAATTCGTTTATATTGAGGAGATAATGTGATATCACTATATTCATCTACATTTAAATATTTATATTTTCCAACATGTAATAATAAGTTTCTTATAGCACTCCAATCAAAATATATGCATGCTGAGGTAGCTGTATATATAACTAATATTATTAATAAATAAAATCTTTTTATGTTTAATGGCGTCTTTTGTTTGGCACCTGGTAAATCAGGGTTGGTCTTTAGCTTCAGCCCTTTGGCGATTTTTATAATCTTATGGAATATTGAGTTTCTCATATTTTTAAAAGTAAAATGTATATATGTAATATATATATATATATATGTGCTGTATAAGGATATATTTGCGTATATGATTAATATTATTTTATATTAAATGATTGCACTTTTTTCTTTCGTTATGTGTAATTATATTTCTATAAATATAAATATAAATATACATATATATATATATATATATATATATATATATATATATATATATATATATATATATATATATGATACACATACAAAAAAGTTACAAAAAATAATCTTTCAAAAATATTACATATATATTTATATGTATGTGATAAAATATAAATGGATGTACTTTTGGAAAGAAATAAAAGGTATTTTTATAAAACGGCTATATAATAAAATATATACATATATATATATATATATATATATATATATATATATATATATATATTTTTTTTTAACTTAAATAATAATATTCATACAAAGTACAATTTTAAATGTAAACATTATAAATATATCACAAACATTTATGTATGATTATCTCTATCCTTTTTATTTTCAATTAAATTATTTCTCTTATCTAATGGTTGCAACTATTTTTTTTTTTTTCTCTTCTGTGGTTCTTCCTTTTTAACGTGTTTTATTTTGGGTTTTGTGTGTTTTTTTTTTTTTTAAACTCTACATATATATATATATATATATATATATATAATTTATACAATTATGAATGCGTATATAAACAGTATGTACTTTTTTAACATATTCTATAATAAATAACATTAATATAACCAAATATATAATAACAAAAATATTTAATACCAAAAAAAAAAAAGAAAAAAAAAAAAAAAAAAAAAAAAATTTAAATGAAAATGAAAATATATAAATATATATATATATATATATACAAGTAAATATATAAAAAATATAATAAAAATAAAAGCCAGGAGACTCTCCGAAAAAATAAAACAAATAAATATAACCTTTAGTGTTAGGCTTTGGCTTATTTTTTTTTTTTTCTTTCTTTATTAAAAATTGATGAAATTTATAAAATTTTTATTTGTTTTTTTTACAAAAAATAATATAATATAATATCTATGTCATATATATATATATATATATATATATATGTATATTATATAATATTAATATATAAAAAAAAAATGTGCATGTTTTTATATATATAAATATATATGTATTTATATTTATATTTCTTTTTCTTTTCTTTTTTTTCTCCATATATAATATTTTATATATATATAGTAATATATTTATTTTTTTTCTTTTTGTGGTTTTTTACATATTTATATATATAAATAATGTTATTTTACAATTGTTTATTTTAAAAGATATAAAGATCATAATGTGGTTTTGTAACCAAAATTTTTATAACTGAAATTGTTTAAAGGCCATAAAATAAAATGAATAAGTATAAAAATATACCATAGATTTTATATGATTTTTTTATGGTCTTTTTCTTTTTTTTATAAATCCTTTTATAAGAAATTTGTATATATATATATATATATATATATATATATTTATTTATTTATTATAATATTTTTCATTATACTCTTCCTTAGGCCTTTTTTTTTTTTTTTTTTTTTATTAATTTAGGAATAAATCATCCTACCATATTTATTTTTATATTTTCTGTTAGTTTGTTTGCTTGGTTGTTTCCTTTTCCCTTTTTCTTTTCTTTTTTTTTAAAAAAAAAGGAGAAATCCTCAAAAAGTAAATAATTCAAATTTAATATTATGGCCTCCATTATATATATCCATATATTTATTAAATATTCAAGAAAAAAAAAAAAGAAGACTTGTAATTTTAAATAACAAAACAACTTAATGTATTTGGGTCATTTATGTGTAACGTCTTATTTTTATTTTATTATAATTTTTTTTTTTCTCTATTAATATGTTTAAAAAATACACGTAATATTTCTATAGATCTTGTAAAAGAGGACGAATTAAATATATATATAAAAAAAAAAAAAAAAAATGGTGTATTCTGATAATAGAAATAAGGAAGAATATA